CATACAATGTATTGTTGGCTATTGCTACAAATATACCCCAGCGACTTAACACTGCTTTTGTGCTCCAGGGTCACATATTTGTACTAAAAAACAAAATTACTTAGAAAATCTTTTTTTTGCAGTGCATTGCTTGTGTTAGAAATTAAAGAGTGATAGATGAACGTTCCGAATCATTTCTTGCTGTATATGTGTCCATCTGAACATTCAAACAAAGGCAGATAATCATGTATTCCTACCATCTCCCAAATGAGCACGGAAACTCTCTAATGAAGTCTCAGTTGACTCTGGTTTAGCTTAAATGATTCTCAGTCCGAGTCTCTCAGCAGGCCAGAGCAACTCAAGAAGAAAGCATCACGGCGTCCTGCTCCTACAGTCAGGACCCAGAGAGGAGCGTCCTTGCTCAGATCCAGAAGCAGCTGTCGCAGTGCGTGTCGGGCCGGAGCTCAGCGGACGGAGCGGAGAAGCTGCTGGAGCTGAAGTGTCAGATCCGCAGCGGCGGCGAGTACGACCTGTTCTACGCACGCAGCAGCATCCAGTGCAGCGGTGTGGAGCGCGAGCTGCGGATGCTGAACGAGGAGCTGCGCAGCATCCAGCTGGAGTGCCAGAGCATCATGAAGGTAGGGACCTACAGCACTGTTCAAAGTTTTAGGCACTTTTGTAAAAATGCTGTAAAATGAGGATGGGGGTATATTTGTAGCAATAGCCAACAATACATTGTATGGGTCAAAATTATACATTTTTCTTTTATGCCAAAAATCATTAGGATATTAAGTAAAGATCATGTTCCATGAAGATATTTTGTAAATGTCCTACCGTAAATATATCAAAACTTCATTTTTGATTAGTAATATGCATTGCTAAGAACTTAATTTGGACAACTTTAAAGATGATTTTCTCAATATTTAGATTTTTTTGCACCCTCAGATTCCAGATTTCCAAATAGTTGTATCTCAGCCAAATATTGTCCGATCCTAACAAACCATACATCAATGGAAAGATTATTTATTCAGCTTTCAGATGATGTATAAATCTCCGAAAATTACCCGTATGACTGGTTTTGTGGTCCAGGGTCACAAATGAACTATAGTGCCCTGCACCCACTGGTAAAAAAAAAATATCAAAAATTATATCTGGTGTGTAACTCATTTTTGGTTTGACAGAAGTACCGATAAGAATACCGTTAAAGTACCGGTTCGATAAGCAGTATTGGTAAGAGTAGTAATACTGTTAAAACCCTAACGAGACCCATCCCTACATGCAGGTGCATCAGCTGGGATCCCGCGAGCGTCCCGAGAAGTCAGACAAGGACAGCTCGAGCGCGTATAACACGGCCGAGAGCTCGCGCAGCACGCCGCTCGCCGCAGATCGCTCTCCGGAGCACCGCAGGGTCAGCCTGACCAACCGCAGGAACCTGCTAGCGCTCCGACGGGCCCCAAGCGGCAGCCCCGACCACAGCAACCCATCCGAGTCCGAGCAGACGCCGCCCGAGGGCCCACAGCGCCAGAGCTGCATGCAGCTGATCCAGCAGCAGACGGCGCTGGAGTTCGTCAGCCGGCCTTCTGAACCCAAGATGGAGTGGAAGGTGAAGGTCCGGAGCGACGGAACCAGGTACCAGTGCTGGGCTGTAGTGAGGCTTTTTTACTTTGCTACTGTACTTAACTACATTTTTCAAGTAACTGTAGTTTATCGGAGTATTTTTAGTAGGGATGCACTGAAATGAAAATTCTTGGCCGAAGCCGAAACCAAACAAAATGAAACACTGGGCCGAATACCGAACACGGTTTTTCATGTTTTTTCCTCATGTATTTTGCCAATTTTTTCACCATCGCATCAATTAAATAGCCAAATTAAATGTGCTTTTTACTGTTTTGTTTTTGTTGTTATTTGTGACCCTGGGGCGTATTACAGAAAGATCCTAACTTTAAAATCTTATCTTATCTGTTTGGTAACCATGGTAATTTCAGTTAGGACCACATTTAGGACAAAAGCTATTACAGAACAGCGTATCCTAAGTGTGTAATCTTATCTTAACTACAGATAGGAAGGAGGTTATTACAGAAACCTCCTAACTTGACAAAAAAATCCTAAAAACTGTCTTAACTTTAGGACAGCCCCACAGCTGTCCTAACTTCAAAACTATTTGAAAGCTAACGGAAAAACAGCTTGCAATTGCGCTGTCCAACAATGGTATTACATTTATTAATAATAAATTGATTTTCAACGGTCGCTTTGTTGCATCCAGTGTAGACAGACTTTAGCTGATGCGGTGCGGCGCGACACGACAACTGGTGTAGACACGCGGTTACGTTTTTCAAAGTGAAGTAGCTTCTATTATTTTGTTTACCTCATCAGCAGCTTGCGCAGTGTTGGTTGCTTAGTAACAGACCTGAGAGTGGATTGTCAAGCTTGATAATGCAATTTAAGATTTCCTAACTAGAGATAAGATACGATTTTGTAAGATAGGATAAGAATCCCAAATCAAGTTAAGATTTGCTTCTCCCCAGCGACTTAAGACTGCTTTTGTGCTCCAGGGTCACATTTGATCGCGTCACATCATTGTTTTCGGGTAAAATTTATTCGGTCTTTTCACTTATTCAGCCAAACACCGAAAGAGCTTTTTTTTTGCTATTTTCGGCCGAATAATTTCAGTTGCCGAACATTCGTGCATCACTAATTTTTAGAGAAACTTTTACTTCACTACATTCCAAAGTTTAATAGCGTACTCTTTAACTTCACTACGTTTCTTAAAAACATGTCGTTCCTCGTTACTTTGAACTGGAGAAATCGTCACCCACTCAAAGATGCAATGGCGGTGTCTGATTCATGAATGAGCTGATTCTTTTTAATGAACCTGTTAAATTGGTTCGCAGATCACACTGAATGATTCATTCACAAATTAAACTGATCGGATTGTAGCTGTTCTCGAGTCAAACACTCTCTGATTCAAATGATCTGGTCAGGGGTGCGTTTCCCAGAAGCATCGTTAGCTAATGATTCACTGATTCAAATGATCTGGTCAGAGCGAGTCTTCAGTTAATGATTCACTGATTCAAATGATCTGGTCAGAGCGAGTCTCCAGTTAATGATTCACTGATTTTTCAAATTAATGTTCAAATTTTTTTGTTCAAATTAATGTACAAACATAAAGACAGTACATTTTTAATATTTGTTTAATGGCATCTTTTTTTATGAGTGAAGGCGAGTACAACTGATACCAGTACTGATGTCTCGGGGAAACTGTTCTTTTTTTGTTTTGTTTTTTTCTTTTCAAATATTTAACAATTGACTATAGCCATTCAACATTACAAAATAATTGAGAGCTATCAATTTTAACATTTATTAGACTTTAAAAAATAACTTCTAATTAAAGTGAACTTAAAACAATCTTCACATAAACCCATTATAATAAATCTCATATTTAGCTACCTGTGCCCTTCAGCAAGTAGGAAATATACAGAAATTGAATAAAGTTATCAAACTCTAAATTAAATATAGAGGAATCCTTAAAGCTATAAAAGTTATTGATTTCCTTATTTTTCTTTAGTTCTTTGATGAACAGACATCACAGCAGCTGGTTATTAGGTTGTTTTGGCTGCTGTTACTTTAAGAGCTGCCGCTGCTGGGAGCGAGCGCTCAAGATCAAGGAGGAGCGCAGCGGCGGCATGACGACTGATGACGATGCCATGAGCGAGATGAAGATGGGACGCTACTGGAGCAAGGAGCAGCGCAAGCAGCACCTCCTGCGGGCCAAGGAGCAGCGGCGGCGGCGCGAGTTCATGCAGCGGAGCCGGCTGGAGAGTCTGCGGGAGAATCCACTCAGCAGCGGAGAGGGACGCTCGGAGCCCAGCATCATCGAGCTCAGCCACCGCAAGATGATGAAGAAGAGGAACAAGAAGATCCTGGACAACTGGATGACCATTCAGGAGCTGATGACACACGGAGAGAAAGCGCCTGAGGGATCCGCAGTCCACAACGCCTTTCTGTCTGTCACTACTGTATAGATTCACACGCCACTTCTCAAACTTTACCCCATGCGGTACGATCAACTTTTGCCTCGTTCAATGCGGCGATTTTTATGAGAAAAGCCCGGAATATTTTTCACTTTGTTAATGTTTTCTAAGCAACTCAATGATATTCACTGCATTTTTTATGCTTTTTTTGTTACCGGAATATTTCAACTAAGGTACATAAAGGTATATTTCACTCAAACATTACAGTTATGTCATAATTCACTTTCAGTCCAAACCTTTATGACTTTCTACAGAGTCTCTAAAAGGACATGGTGATGGAAAAATATGACATGGGAGAAAAAATGATTTCTGTGTTTTTGAGTGTGCTAGCAATAGTTTGACATTCCCCCAATAAACTTTTAAAGATTGTTCATTTGAACTTTGCATTCGCTCGTTTGCACACCAACGTTTTGATTTGCATGCAAAATTTTTCTAAATTTTAGAATTTTGTATCATTTTGCTTTCGCTCATGACATTTTTTCTTGAATTTTTTTCAAAATTTTAATTTATACTTTGCGTTTTCTCATTTCATTACTAAAGTTTTACCTTCATCCAAGTTTTTTTTTTTTTCTTTTTGAATTTGTACTGTTTTTAATTAAAAAGTTCTGCTTTCCCTCAAGAAAATGTTTCTAAATTTTAGTTTCGCCTAAGAAATTTTTTTATTTAATTTGTACTTTGGTTCACTCATTTAATCACTAAAGTTTTACTTTTGTCCAATAATTTTTTGTTTGTTTGTTTTTGAAAATTTTAAATTCATACTTTGTTCACTCTTTTTAATTACTAAATTTTTCTTTCACTCAAGAAATTTGTTCAAAATTTTGCTTTCGCCCAAGATTTCTTTTTTTTTTTCAAAATTTTGAATTTATACTTCGTGTTTGCTCATTTAATTATTACATTTTGCTTTCACCCAAGATAATTTTTCTAAATTTTAAATTTTTACTTTGCATTCACTCTTTTAATCAAGTTTCACATTCATCCATGAAAATTGTCAAAATTGTGAATTTGTACTTTACATTGGCTCGTTTACTCACTTAGGTTTTGCTTTTGTCTTAAGAATTTTTTTAATTTTTTTTAATATTTTGACTTTGAACTTTGCATTCACTTGTTTACTCGCTTTTTTAATTTTTTGCTTTCACCCAAGATTTTTTTTAATCAAAACTCAACATTTGCACTTTGCATTTGCTCGTTTAATCACAAAACTTTTGCTTTCACCCAAGAATGTTTTTTAGTTTGAATTTGTACTTTGCCACTCACTCATTTGCACTCTGAAGTTTTGCTTTTCACTCTTTTAATCAAGTTTCACATTCATCCATGAAAATTGTCAAAATTGTGAATTTGTACTTTACATTGGCTCCTTTACTCACTTAGGTTTTGCTTTTGTCTTAAGAATTTTTTTAATTTTTTTTTTATATTTTGACTTTGAACTTTGCATTCACTTGTTTACTCGCTTTTTTAATTTTTTGCTTTCACCCAAGATTTTTTTTAATCAAAACTCAACATTTGCACTTTGCATTTGCTCGTTTAATCACAAAACTTTTGCTTTCACCCAAGAATGTTTTTTAGTTTGAATTTGTACTTTGCCACTCACTCATTTGCACTCTGAAGTTTTGCTTTACAAGTTTTTTTTTTTCCCCAAAAAATTTAGTTTGTATTTTGCATTTGCTCGTTTAATCATGAAATTTTTGCTTTTGTGCAAAAAAAAAAAAAAAAAAAAAAAAATTCATGTGAACTTTACATTTGCTGTTGTTTTTTTTCTGTTCAAGAAATCTTTTCCAATTTGTTTGTTTTACTTGTTTGCATGTAAATTCTTGCTCAATTTGCTCCCCCGGGGAGCAAAACTTTTGCGCGAGACCGCAGTATGAAATATAATTTTCTCCCGTCTCATATTTCCCTGATGTATCCTATTGACTACTTTTATGGTGCTTTGTCATTTTGTAGCTTAACAGCCCCAGTTCATATTAACATGTATTATATCTTGTTCTGCTGAAGAAAGAAAGAAACAGCATGAATTTATTTTTGTTTTATTTATTTGTCATTCCTCACAGGATCTGAAGATAATGTTTACATTTCGGCAAAAAGTGAATTATTGTGCAATCTCCTGCCTTTAATCAACACTGCTGCGGAGTCTATTTTTCAGACGTTGTAGGATGTGTATTGTTTGTCAGCAGCTCTGTGTAGCTGAAGATAACCGGGCCGGGACTAACTCTACCTCAGACGCGCTTCCCAAGATCCAAACATACCAGCGTAAATCTGAATTTATGCTCATAAATGCTTCCCAAATGATACTGTAAACTTTGAATATACTCACATCTGTATTCTGGTCCTGCTCAGTGGACCAGTTTAATTAACTGTAGGTAATTATAAGCCATTTTAGAGCTTTCCAGATCAATTTCCCCCTGGATGCTGTTTGTATAAGGAACCAGTTTTTCTCAGTCTGGCTGTATTTTTGTTGATTTGGAGCAGTTGTTGTACATCTGTAAATGTCTGTATTGTTCTGGCTCGATGTTCTTCGTTCGGTTTAGTAATCTGTAGTCGTCTCTTGGCCAGGTGAATGTGTGGTCATTGTGATATTTTGACTGAATAAATCTTTTCTTCAAAACTTCTTACGTTCATGCTAATAAAAACTTTTTTTTTTAAATAGCCATTTAAGATTTAAGCCCTGTAAATCGTGTCCTTCGATATCAATGTTATGTACTTCATGATTTTGAGGGATATTCGCTGTTAAATTAACTGCATATAAACGTCCAGGTCATAAATCACCCCAAAATCAAAGGGAAAAAACAATTATTTCGCTTAAAGCGAATGAAATCAATACAATCATAATTGTAGATTAGTGTCTTCAAGTTCATGTCTATAGCTTCGCGTCCACTTATATGCTTATGTACTGCTAAAAGACAACTTTTTGAGAAAAATGTATGACTATATTAATTGTTTGAGTAGTTTTATTTTTAAAAGAGCATTTAAAATTAAACGGGAAAATAATTGCATTACCATAATTATAATTTGAGAAATGTTTGTCCTAACATAGACTTCGTTTAGAAAAAAAAAGAAAAAGAAATATATATATATATATATATTAGGTTTAATTAGCTTTAAGCAAAGAAAAAAAAAAAAATTTCTATATAAAAACAATATTATATATACACATTCCAATCAATATATATATATATATATATATATATAAAAAATCCAAAAAGTATATGAATGCATTTCAGGAACTAAATGTATTTAAAATGCATGTATTAGTCATGAAAATAGTCACAGTGCAACAATTCCTGCTGGTCCTAAAATAGGATTGCTCTGCTGTAAACCAATAACTTGTCTTTTTCTCTCTCTCATTTGATTTTGGCTGAAATATGAACTGGATATGTTTGGTGAGATTGATCTGTACAGCAGGTGAAACACCACTGAAGCGCTTCACTCACTAAAAGAACAGCAGACTCGTCTGGACTCCAGTCCCATCAGCACTTCACTGTTGAGTTTTCAGCAGCTCAAACACATCCTGAAACGAGACTCGAGAGGTTAACGAGCTGATCTCCATTCACTTTAAATCAGCTCAAGACCTCCAGACACCGGCTTCACGTCCAGCCTGTAACTCATTTCCATCTCTCTCATTGTTCAGTGCTGCGCTAATGAAGCCGTGTGATTGGCTCAGGTGTAATTCAAGGCGCTTGTCACAGCATCAAACAGCAGAAATGTCAGAGATAACGCACTCAAGGCTTGTTCAGTCTGAGCCGTTACCAGCTCCAGCCGTGTCACTTCATGTGTTTCTGGAGCAGATGATCTTTAGTATGCTAAGTGAAGCGTGTGATAATGGCTCCGTGTGATGCTGGACGTCACATTATCTGAGCACGTCTTCATCAAGACATCAGCTTTATGGCCTGCTCTGAGCTCAGATCAATGCACTAAAGAACCCAAACCAGCAGCTGTTTTCTCTCGCCCTCGGCTTTCTCTTCTCTGCGGCTCAAACCAGATTCAGGTCGCTGCTGGTAACCGCTGCTTTTTGGACTGAATTCAGAAAGACCAAACCGTTTTTAAAATGACTTTTGGTGTAGTCATGATTAGGAGAAGTAAATAGCTGTGCTATTTATATATTTATTTAGTTATATTTTGTCATGTATTTTCTCCTTGGCATATATAATGTTAGCAAAAAAAAAAAAAAGGTAAAACGATGTACTGGAAAAGGGGAAAATATTATTTTTGTTTTTTGTTTATAGTTTAATTAAAGATACAAAGGTGTTTTTACTTGCATTATATTATATTAGAAAATTAATCAGCTTATATATATATATAAATTAAGTTTAAATATTAAAAAATAAAAAAACTAGATATATTTTGTCCACCTGAAAAAAAAAAATATATATCACCAACATTTTTTTTTAAGATACAAATACATAAAGATGTTTTTGCTTGCTTATTTATACTCCCAATACATTTTTCTTGACAATTAATTGGTGTGTTGTTTTTTTTTTGCTGTCATTATGAAGTTATCATACAAAAAATGCGTAAGAGATTGAAAAAATTGATAAGATGGACATAAGAATAAATGTAACATTACTGAAGAAGAAGTTAAAATACACTGCTTCAACTTAAATTACTTTTACTGCTACTATATACATAACTATGTATTTTATATATGTATATAGTATATACAATTAGATTTAATAATTTAAAAAGTGTTAAAATCCTACAGAGGCAAAGGGAAAAGGAGATATTTGGTGGTTTAAAATGTTGTGATATCGTATTATTTGAGTAGGACCGAGTTTAAAATGGATATTGTTCAGTATTTTAGGCCAGTAAGATGATCTTTATTGAGGACACACACGACTCTGAATACCGATAATGAGCCGCTTAGCTGCTCTTTTACAAACAAAAGCAGCTCACAGTCCATTTACACAATAAAAGCAAAGATCAGGTCAGTGCATGCAGCGCTTTGATTTCTAAAGCAGGAACACAATCACTCGTTACACATCCACACAGACTGAAAGACATCCTCCTGATATTGTGTTTAAAGCATGTAAATGAGGCAGAAGTGCATCACTATTTCACTGCGGGTCTCAACAGGATTGAAGTCATTCACTAAGTGCTAGAATGATCTCAGCACATCCTCTAACCCTATAAAGAAATCAAGCTTATTCATCAGCATTACTAATGTGACCGCAGCTCAACAGATGAAGCAGCGACTGCAGCAGAACCTTCAAAGTCAAGTCAGTCTCAATAACCTGAGCTTTTAGTTTAGAAGAGCTCCTGTCCTTCAAATCCTGCTGTTAGTCTGAGAGAGGAGCGTTCACTCGTCAGTCAGAAGCAGATAACTGTGCTTTCAGTGACAAAACAGTGGAGATGATG